CTTAAGGTTAAATACAAATTTATTGACTTAAAACCTTTTTTCTTTTCAACAACAGGCATTTCAGTGCTATAAATTTCCCCCCTATTTTATTAGTATTCCATAAAGTTTTAGATTCTATATTTTTATTTTTATTCAGTTCATAAAACACTTTTCAATTTTCCTTTTTATATCTGTTTTTTAAACCAATAAATAGGTCAGAAATGCTAATTTAAATTTCCAAACATTTGGGAGATTTTCAAGAGAAATTCCTCTTACTTCCAATTCAATACCATTGTGGAATTAAATTAACATGGTTTACATGAATTTAATTCTTTAAATGTATTAAGACTCATTTTATGGCCCTCCCATTATATGAAGATTTTTAAAGGAATGGGGTTCTGCTTATTTTTATTTCCTGACTTGCTGTTACTTGTTATAGCCATTTTATCTGCCAAAAACATGCAGAAAAAAAAGCACACAAATCAACTGGAAAGAGATACATAAATATCAGCTATGATGAGACCCTACGATTTGGTGCCATTGTAATTGTGTACTGTCCAAGTTCCCTATATTCTTAGAACTTTCCCAACATGACTGACACTAATAATCCACTTCATAGTCACCTGATCATTTAAAAAAATGTATTCTATTTCTATATTCAACTTTTTTACTCAAGCACTGTACACAATCAACAACAAACAGTTCAAAATAAATGAAACAACAGACTCCTCCTTAACGTAAAACCCTAAGGTGAAGTCTGCCTAAGAAAGCTATTCTGACAGTGCCATTTGCTGAGAGAAAAGAAAAGCATGTACATAGGGACCACTGAGATAATTCAGGAGGTGATCATATTGAACCATTCTAAGAGTCTAGTTGATATCTGAAAACAATCTTTCAGAATACTAAGATAACTACTCATCATTGATCTTGGTAAGGCAGCTCCTGACAAATTAGCAGTTCTGTAACTGGGTTACTTTCCAAAAAGAGTTGTTATTTGCATTAAGAATTCAGTATACATTTCAGCTTTACTTTATTGAGGCTGGTAACATGTCAACCTTATAAACTTCAGCAGAGTCAGTTCTCCTGAAGGGGACAGTACAGTTTGGGAGATGGCACTGTTGACACGTATAAGAATTAGAATGAAATAATGTTGCATGAATCGATTTTCAATACTGATCACTTTGATTATTGGAGTAAAAGGGGATCAACACTAAAACAACGCCTAATATAAACCTGCTTTCAACTTTGCCTCTCTTTACTGTCCTAAGCAGTTTGTATCCATATTTGAAAAAGATGACTGTCAAATGCCCATCTACTGATTGCATTACTACATACAATCCTATATTTTTGCCTCCATCAAGGCTTCCCTGCCATGTGTGTTTTTCCAATTTTCTCTTATATACGCTTATCCAAAGCAAGGGCATCATTAACATAAGCTTACACTTCAGTATCTACCTCATCATGGCCACTTGGCTGCAGCTTCTTAATCTGATTGTCATTTTCTGGGAAGCAAGTTAATAAATAATAGATTTACCACACACATAGGCTAGCCAAGAAAAATGACATTGGAGTTGTCTTCACACCAACTGTATACTTTGAAACTACCGACATACGATAATCATGAAATATTGTCTACAGAGGGATTTGAGCCTGCTACGTCTACTGCGAATGCTTGATCTGTGGGCTCATTCCAGAACTGGGGGAGCCATGTTCTCGGCATAGACAGAGTGAATCATCGGCAACCTGATGTTCTTGCTTCCCTGTCAAGTAAAAACACACACACACACACACACACACACACACACACACACAGAGACACACGGGCTCTCATCTAAATAAGCCATACAGTGTTTATAGGGTGGATGGTTCAAAATAAAAGCTTGTATTTCAGTATCTATTGGACCTTTCAATGAGATAATAATGTCCATGTTTTAATGCTCTTTCAGCACACTTCTATAAAGCTAAGTGAACATTACACAAGGTAAAATTCTTTGTGTTCTGTATAATTGACTGACTACTTCAAACTGACACCTTCATTTGTGGCTTTTACATATTTCTTATTCATTCATTCTCAAGAATAGACCAGCACTAAGGACAAAGATATGGCTTTAAAAAATTCCAAATATGAATTTGTTCAAATTATCTGGAAGGAAACACACATAATACCAAATTTTTAAAAATTCCTATGACAATGTTAAAATTGAGAAGAGTATTTTAGAGAATTGTCCTGATAAATTTCTCTAACTTTAGAGTGTGGATGGTATTCTGGTTAATTTCTTCATGTTAACATTACTTTATCAATCTAATCAATTTTGTCCTTTCATGTCATCTTTGCATTACCTAGCACAACTTATTTATTATGTATTTATAAATATATAATTATTATAAATAAAACTGAAACCTGTGTGATTTATCCAGGCAATGGCTCTTTCAAAAATTCTGAATTTAGTATTCAAATTTTTTTGCAATTAGGAATATTTCAGTGATTGGAAATAAAATACTATCCTGGTATGACTGTTAGTGATAAATGTTATAGTTACAGCACATGTTTTGTAAAAGGACTGCCAGTTTTCATTGTATTAACTGTAAACCATTTGAACCTATTTTAATAATGTTAAACAAACATCACTTAAGAAGATACATCAAATAATAAAATATATTTTATGTTGTGTAAATATATGTGTGTTGTATAACTTTACCTTGACATTCTAATACATTACTGAAATAACCTGAATATTTGATGATTTGACTATATCTCATTAAAGAAATCACATGGACCTAATTTTTAAGCATTACTCATTCTAGGAATGCTCTACAGAAACAGAGGCATGAGCGCATAAAAACTGGCATATTCTAAGTGTATGGTATCTTGCATTAGCAAAACACTGATAACCACTATTCTGAAAACAAGAAATTGCCAAACAAAATGTGGTGTCCTTTATATTTACTGAGGACACTGGCACATTTATAGTTTTTGACATAGAGATCTCAAAACCTATAGGACCTCAGGAGATTGTATAACATATATTACTACCAAAATGTAATATGGCCAATCTAAAGCTCATTTACAATAAAATTAATTGGTTATGATTGATGAACATTATATATAAAGATAAATGGATTGACAGATACTTGTATTCGCACAGAAAGGTTTTCCCTAATATAGGGCAGATGATTAAACATTTTACTGCTGGAAAACATGGGGAAAAGGTTAAAAATACATCTGTCATAAATAATTTTATATTCTTCTATGTTGTTAAGCTTCCTTAAAATGAAGTGTTTACTCTTGGCAGTAATTTATGGCTGGAGCTCTTTGATCTTAAACTAAAAAAGAGAAAACTAGGGAAGCAGGACTAAAAGTTGAAAGACATTTTAGCTTTCATGTGCCAAGAACTCAAGAGGCAAAAAGCATTATCAGCTGTATATTGACTAAGCAATCGCCAAGGAAATTCTTAAACAGGAAGTTCACTGTTCTGACTTTTGGCTTTATACTTTATGCGACTTCAACAATATTTCCCCAAATTCTTAACCATACAATGCATGTGGCCCTCTATTAAGATCTATGAGGAAGACCAGGCGTGGTGACTCACGCCTGTAATCCCAGCACTCAGGGAGGCTGAGGCAGGTAGATCACGAAGTCAGGAGACCGAGACCATTCTGACTAACATGGTGAAACCCCGCCTCTACTAAATATACAAAAAAAATTAGCTGAGTGTGGTGGCATGCGCCTATAGTCCCAGCTACTTGGGAGGCTGAGGCAGGAGAATCACTTGAACCCAGGAGGCAGAGGTTGCAGTGAGCCGAGATCAAGCCACTGCACTCCAGCCTGGGTGACAGAGAGAGACTTTTTCCCCAAAAAAAAAAAAAAAAAAAACTATGAGAAAATCTCACATGTGGAGTGGAAATAATCACACTATTATACTATATTTGCCTGTATATTCAATTATACAGCACGTAGAATGAAAAGCATCAAGACATCACATTAATTCCCTTTCTGCAAAACAAGAGATATGTACCAGTTCAACTGATTTTGCAAAGAAAGTATAAAGAATTGAGTACCAAAACACGTGACTACATCGCAACAATACTGCAGTCTTTAAGACCTGGGATCGTTCAGCATGTTTTTATAACAGAAAAAATATATAAGAGAATTTAAGAATAGGCATAGAAAAAATATGCATGTGTTAAAATAAAAATACTTGAGTAACTACTCATGATGTGATTTGCTAAAAAGGCCTGGGCTAAAGAGAGAACCCACTTGATCTATTATGAGGGCATCGGTCAATAAGCACTGTATCATACACAATCTATTTCACACTTTTTTATGTATTAACCAATATTTTGACTAGTTCGATGAGATTTTTTTTACTTTCTATTGAAGAATAATATACATGTAGAAAAGTGAATACACTAAAATTGTAAAGCTCAATATGTTTGCATGATTCAAACAGCAAGTACTCAACACACAGATCAAGAAATAAAAATTACATGAATTCCAGAAACCCATGTGAGAGCCCAGGGCTCTTCACATCTACTATTATCTCAGACATGCCATAAACATAAGAACATTTCATATATAACTTACCTTGTTGCAACAACCAGAAAAAGACCAATTAGAGTCAATCTTTAATAATTAAATTAGAGGCACAATTATAATGTAGTATAACCACAAAGATCTCATGAACCATGGAGTCTCTATTCTGAAACCCCCATAATTAAACAGATGAAGAAAATACGTTAATATTTTGGCACAACTGGATTTAACTACAATAAATTTTGATCCAATATGAAATTGCCAAAAGTTCTCTTAAATTCTACACTTTTCCATAAAAAGAGAAAAGAGTTAAAACAGAAATGATAAGGATGCACTAGTGTAGGTGACATGGTGAGGGTCTCAAGGAGGAAAAGGACATATGAAAATATCCTCCAATAAGCCTCTGAAAAGATGTACACAAAGACCTAAAGACCTACAAACAGCATACGACATATGAATTTCAAAAGATAATGGTTTAGCTACTCACCCCTATTCTCTGAAGTGGAGGATCTCATTCCAGCCCTTCTATCTCAGCAAAACATGAAAGAAAAAAAAGAAAGCAAACATAATCTTAGAAAATACACCACAGTAAAATAAGCACTAAAATTGGTTCCACTGTCATTATTTCATATCATCATGCCATATTTCCTTCCTTTAGCACAACACTAATGAGATTTTCAGTACCTATCACAGTTGCTTGACCCTTAATTGAATCTTTTAAAGTTTTTCATTTGTTACTTAAGAATATATATCCCATATATAACTATCTATCTACAATTCTCTGTTCAAATGAACAAAATAAACCCAATCTTGGACCACTAAGCTTAAAGTGCACACCAACTCATAAGACAGGATGTGAACACCCTCTTCAGAGAGGTAGAAAAGGCATGCTCACAGGGGTACTATGTGGTCACTGAAGGATCACCAAATAGAGCCAGGCTCTGAGAGTCTTATTTGTCCTACTGGAGGGCCGCACATCTGGACCTCAGATTGACATCTGGAATGAGTCCCTCAGCATCCTCAGACAAGTATTCTCATCATCGATCCAAACAAGCACCCTCCCGACAAATAAGCATTTACATACCAGGCTTATTTTGGGCATGCTTATCTAGTGCATCATCAGTCAGAACAGCAAATGTACAGTAGACATTTTGTTTCGTATCTGAATAATGGAACTCTCATACACATAGGATGAAAAAACATGTGACTGAATTGTTCTAATAAAATTAGATTAAAATCTGGCTGGGCACTGTGGCACACGCCTATAATCCCAACACTTTGAGAGTCCAAGGCGGGTGGATCTCATGATCAAGAGTTCAAGACCACTGTGGCCAAGATGGTGAAACCCTGTCTCTACTAAAAATACAAAAATTAGCTGGGTATGGTTACCCATGCCTGTAATCCCAACTACTTGGGAGGCTGAGTCAGGAGAATTGCTTGAGCCTGGGAGACTGAGATTGCAGTGAGCCGAGATTGTGACACTGCACTTTAGCCTGGGCAACAGAGCAAAACTCTGTTTCAATTAAAAAAAAAAATCTATTGACAAACTTTACAAAAACTCCTTAATCAACTAAAAATTTAAGGAGTGAGGTAGTGGAATAATATATGGTATGATTACAGTGCTAACATGTATAGAAACATCTCTGTTATAAATGTGCCAGATCAAGATTAAAAAAAAAAAACAAAACACATTATTGAGAACACTTGAATTTCACTACAAGATTATTTTCACCCAACATGAACAGTGACAAAAGGAAGTACGTCAATGATTCTCCACAATTGCTTAGGCCATTTCAAAAACAGATTTAAACAAAGAGAGAAACAATAATGAGAAATCCTTGAACAAGGTAGGGACACGTATATGGAAATATATGTAGCAAAAGAATAATCTCCTTTAAGCCTCTGAATGAACTCACAGTCCTTGACATTCTGACATCACTGCCCACAGAACACACAAAGAATTTCAAAAGTACCAAAGTAGCTGCTCACCTTTTTTCCCTGAGGTTTCCCTGAAGTTGCTTCAGCTTTTAACCTGCAGCAAAATATTATACAGAAAACAAATCAGATCACAGAATGCCCCAAATTAATAAAAAATAAAGCACAACATTGGTTCCATTATAATTACTTATCATACAGGTACCTCAGCACTCTAGTCCTTGCTACAATTATAAGCATTGCTTGATCTCACACCTATGTCATTTCATTTATTAATTAGTTTCCTCCTTGAATTGTTTACGCTGAAAATAGCCAATTTTCTTTCTACCAAGCTATCCAAGTGCACAGCAATTGTCTCTTGAATGGGAAATGCTAAAGTTGTAGTCAACCAGCAAAGATTTTATGAAAATACACTGTGATGTGAAAAATGAAAGATACATGATAGTAGTATTGTGAGATCATCGAGGAGTTCACCAGTTCAGCCTGCTCTGAATGTGTTATTCATCCTGTTGCAACAGAACAGGTGGCCCCTCATTCAGCCACACCTCACATCCCAGATGCTTGGGCTCATCCTTGATCCTGACAAGTCCACCACCAATAACTACACATTCCTCACTCCACACAGATGCTCATAACAATGTGTCTCCCGAATTCAGCTCCTAGTAGACAACAGCACAGGTGGATGTCTGACTTGACTTTAGTGAGACTGGCTCTCACGACAACTCCAGAAGTTTCTCAGGACCCTTTGGTCTACAGAAATACATGAAGTGATACTGCAGTGGGATGGCTGTCAATGCTGATATGTTTACTAAATATGACAGAAATAAAAAGTCAGGAGTTAACTGTGAACTTGGAGTGTATCATTTAAAAGATGATTAAAGTATGTTAGAGTCTATTTGGCAGCAGCATATAATATGACATTCCTTCAATCTGACAGGTGTATATTCCCTGTCCAGGGCAGAAGACCAGCATACAAATGTCACTAATATTGTGACAAAGTAGAAATAAAGTAGAAATAATACAACTAAACACAGGAGGAGGAAAGAAAAAGGGGAAAACTGAAAGCACTCATGTTGCATGAGCAATAGGGGACTGCTGAAGAACATCCCCAAACTGATAAATCAGAAGTAAAAGATTAACTAGGAAAACACAGAACTAATGGAATAAGGAGAGGTACAGAAGTAAATACTCCAACATAAATAAAAACTCTCAAGTGGCCAGGAGTGGTGGCTCACACCTGTAACCCCAGGACTTCGGGAGGCCGAGGCGGGTGAATCACGAGGTAAGGAGTTCAAGACCGGCCTGACTAACATGGTGAAACCCCATCTTTGCTAAAAATACAAAAATTAGCTGGGTGTGGTGGTACACACCTGTAATCCCAACTACTTGAGAGGCTGAAGCAGGAGAATTGCTTGAACCCAGGAGGCAGGGGTTGCAATGAACCAAGATTACACTGCTGCACTCCAGCCTGGGCAATAGAGCAAGACTCTGTCTCAAAAAACAAACAAAAACTCTCCTAAGTATGAATAAATAAAGAGGTGAGCAATACACACACACACACACACACACACACACACACACACACACACACGTGAGTGGACTCCACACATCTACTAGAAGAAAAATATTTTTAGCAGGCTCACAAAATAAAACATAGTATGTTTATGAGAGATACATCTAAAACAAATGGATTCTAAAAGAATGAAAATAAAGAGATGGGCGAAAGAATACAGAAAACAAAGAGATCAGGAGTAGTAATTCTTTTTTTTTTTTTTCCCCACATCAACTGCATGCAGGAGTAGTGATGCTTTCATCATGTAATGTAGAATTCAGGACGCATGATATTTAACCAAGGCAAAGGAGGACACATTTTTTATGCTAAAAGATATACACATGAAGATCTCACCCTTACGAAGTCTTATGTACCAAATAACATAACCATCTTTATTAATTAAAAAGTACATGAGATGTTAAGGAGACAAGACATAGATGAACCCATAACAGAAAACTATAGCTGGATGCGGTGGCTCACGCCTATAATCCCAGCACTTTTGGGACGCCAAGGCAGGCGGATCACAAGGCCAAGAGATCGAGACCAACCTGGTCAACATGGTGAACCCTCACCTCTACTAAAAATACAAAAATTAGCCAGGTGTGGTGATGCACACCTGTAGTCTCAGCTATGTGGGAGGCTGAGGCAGGAAAATTGCTTGAACCCAGGAGGCAGAGATTGCAGTGAGCTGAGATCATGCCACTGCACTCCAGCCTGGCAACAGAGTGAGACTCTGTCTCGAAAACACAAAAAAGAAAAAAAACAGGAAAACTATAATATACCATTATCAGAGAAAGACAGATTAAGTGGGCAAAAACAGCAACATAAAAATAGGGTACATTTTATGGCTACATATTAAAGTTGACAGATTATAGAAGATATGTATTATTCTCAAGTGCCCATGGGATAGTCACCAAAAACTGATCATATATTAGGTTGGAAAGAAAAATTAGTAACTCAAAGAAATACTAAAAACTGCACTCTCTGATCACAATGCAAAAAATAGACTTTACTGGCCAGGCATGGTGGCTCACACCTGTAATCCCAGCACTTTGGGAGGCCAAGGAGGGCAGATCACAAGGTCAGGAGATCGAGACCATCCTGGCCAACATGGAGAAACCCCGTCTTTACTAAAAATACAAAAATTAGCTGGGCATGGTGGCATGCACCTGTAGTCCCAACTACTTGGGAGGCTGAAGCAGGAGAATTGCTTGAACCTGGGAGATGGAGGTTGCAGTGAGCTGAGAGAGCATCACTGCACTCCAGCCTGGTGACAGAGCAAGACTGTCTCCAAAAAAAGACTTTATTAACAATAACATAGAGGCTCTTTCACCAAGAAATTTTAAAAAATCTCCTATTAACTCCTGAGTAAATGGAAAAATATAAACAGAAAACACATATTTTAAAATAATATGTAGATGTTTATATGTAAATATGTATTTTATTTGCAAATACAAATTTACATATTTTTAAATATGCAACATATGAGAATCTATAATATGCATTTAAAGCAGTCCTAGAAGAAAATTCATTGCACTAAACATTTTAGTTATTTTTAAAAATGAAGAAGTAGATGAACAAAAGAATTTTATCTTAAAACACTAAAAAGCAGCAAAAATAAGTACAAGAAAGAAAGAAATAAGGATCAAAGCAGAAATTAATTAAGATATTTTTAAAACCATAGATAATAATTGAGAAGCCTGTGGTTTTTTATTAGCTACATAGGCACTCTACTAGCTAACTTTATCAATAAAGGGAGAAAACACAGATATACAAAGTAACACTCCATGAGCACTGGAACATCATGTGCATTCTGCTATTGTTGGGTGTCACGTTCAACTCATGCCAATGGAGTCAAGTTGGTTAATAGTGTTCTTAAAACCACCTTTACTGATTATCTTACCCATGTTCAATCGCATACAAGAAAGGGGCATTGCAATTTCAAACTATAATTCGGAATGGTCAAGTTTTTCACTTCATTTCAAAAGCCTATGTTGGAAATGTAACCCTCAATGCAACAATGTTTAATAAAGCAACATTTAAAAGGTAATTAGGCTGTGAGGGCTCTGCCTTCATCAATGGATTAATGCTGTTATTTCAGGGTGGATTCCTATAAAAAAAAGACATTTGTCCCATCCATACCCTCTCTTTGCCCTTCTACCATAGGATGACACAGCTAGAAAGCCCCTCACCATATGCCAGCCCCTTTATCTTTCCAGCCTCCAGAAACGTGATCCAATAAATTTCCATTCATTACAAATACAGTACTCAGGCTGTGGCATTCCGTTACATCAGAGCAAAACTGACTGAGGCAGAAAACTGGTAACCTAAGTGCAGTATCTTTTGTATCTAGATATCCAGTTGTCCTAGCAACATTTGTTGAAAAAGTGTTCTTTTCCATCACAGAGTGGACAATGTCCACAAAACTAGTCTTCTTGGGGTGCAGGAATCATAAGCAGTCTTGGGTTCTTTGGGTGTGCCTCTATGGCATGATATTACTGCCACAAACGATGGCTTGAGTGACCAGAACCCCAGTATTCTCAGCACACTGTGCCCAAAACAGAACTTCTGTTCTGCAGAAGGGACTGGGCAGAAAATGAGAGCTCCACCTTTCAACTACTTGCCCAGGACTTAGCCTCAACAACAGGTAGCTGGGAGCCAGAACAGAACTGCTAGTGTCCTGCTTGCCAAGGAAGGAAGCCTTCCTTCTATGTGCTAGGTAAAGATGGAACCATGTGCTCTGGGCTTAAGAAGTCTTGAGCAGACTCTGCCTCACTAAAAAGGGAAAGGAGAAAAGAAGCACTCTTGTTTCAATCACCACAGACTCACCTTTCTTTTTTTTTTTTTTTTTTTTTTTTTTGAGATGGAGTTTCGCTCGTTACCCAGGCTGGAGTGCGATGGCGCGGTCTCAGCTCACCGCAACCTCCGCCTCCTGGGTTCAGGCAATTCTCCTGCCTCAGCCTCCTGAGTAACTGGGATTACAGGCACACGCCACCAAGCCCAGCTTTTTAGTAGAGACAGGGTTTCACCATGTTGACCAGGATGGTCTTGATCTCTTGACCTCGTGATCCACCCGCCTCAGCCTCCCAAAGTGCTGGGATTACAGGCTTGAGCCACCGCGCCCGGCTAGACTCACCTTTCTTTATGAATTTTATAGATTCTTGAAACAGATGTTTCATTTAATGTTTGCTCTTAGGACCATTTAAAGATGCTTTAAATGGCTTTTACTTTGCATAGTTTTCAAAGGTTTCACTGGGGATTGCATCAGTAGTCTTTACAGTGTCATGCCAGAAGTTGGTCTCATAAACCTGGAGATTTTAATGTTATTTCTTGATATGGACCACACCGTAAGCTTTAGATGACACAGTATGGTGAGCAACCAAATTCAACTGTCTAGAGAAACCGTCAGGATCTTTCACTTATGAGTACCATTAATTATCCACAAATACAACAACACAGAATGCTCCAAATAAAATAATGTGAATTTGTCTATGTGTACATTTGAACCCCAAAGGGTATCTCACCACAGAGGTTATGCCAGTGAGTCAGAAGCGTTTAAACTTTCTCAGACAACAGAGCTAGGGTAAAAAGTGAAGACCTTTCATAAGGATTGGATCATCTATGTGAATTACTAAAGGAAAAGAAAAATCACACTCAGATGCCCTGAAATGATGACCCTATCACGGAGGCCAGTCAAAAATAGACCAAGATCTAATAAAAATTTCTCAGTCAGCAAAGATACCACTACTTCTGAACCATAAAAATTACATCTCCAGCTAGCAAAATGTTCTCAACACACAATGGCAGAGAAAGAACCAAGATATATTTTCTCTGAAAATACATTAAAATTAAGAACTCAAACCACTGAAGTTGGACTTGAAACCAAAATCATATAAATACTAGAAGAAAAACTAAGAAGAACTCTTTTGGACATGGGTCTAAGCAAAGAATTCATGACCAAGACCTCAAAAGCCCATGAAACGAGGATGGACAAATGGGAATTAATTGAATTTAAAAGGTTCTACACAGCAAAAGAAATAATCAACAAAACAGACAACCTGCAGAATAGGAGAAAATATTTGTAACCTATGAAACAGACAAGGAACTGATATCCAGAATGTACAAGGAACTCAACTCAACCAAAAAACCCACACAAACAACCCTGTTAAAAAGTAGGCGAAGAATGTGAGTAGACATTTTTAAAAGAAGACACACAAATGGCCAACAAGCATGTGAAAAAATGCTCAATGTTACTACTCAGAGAAATCCAAGTTAAAACCACAATGAGGTATCATCTTATATCAGTCAGAATGGTTATTATTAAGAAGTCAAAAAATAACAGAGGATACAGAGAAAAGAGAATGCTTATACGCTGTTGGTGGAAATGTAAATTAGTATGAACACAGTATGGAGAATTCTCATAGAACTAAACACAGAACTACCATTTGAGCCAGCGATTCCACTATTGGTATACACCCAAATGAAAAGAAATCACTGTATCAAAGATACTTGCACCCATATGTTTATCACAGTAAAGACATGGAATCAACCTAAGTCATCAGTGGATGACTGGATAAAGAAAATGGGCCAGGCGCGGTGGCTCACGCCTGTAATCCCAGCACTTTGGGAGGCCGAGGCGGGTGGATCACAAGGTCAGGAGTTCGCGACCATCCTAGTCAACATGGCGAAACCCCAT